ATTAAGGTGTTGGATCATGTTTAGAGTAGGATGAATCTGTAATCAATGGATGGCATCTGTGTGGTGCATAGGCTCAGGTAGCCAGTAGTAGTTAGAATATGGGGCAGAGCCTCATGGTGTGACTGTGCGCGAGGTTCTCGGATGGTTGGAGATTCTGCATCCCAATGTAGTAGAAGGTCACCATGGAATCAGAAGATCTTGGATAGATTGAATATACACATTTTTGGTTTAGGTTATGTGATATATAGTGGGTTGGCGCTTAGGGTGAGACTCGCGATGTGAGTCACCTTTGTTATTTTCAAATGAGAGGTTTTTCTTTTCAGCAGCAATGAATGGTCAGGATTATATTTTTCCAGTGGTATCAGTAAGATAATTTAGGGTCGGAGGAGTTTTGTTCGGTTTGGTTTGAGAAGTGGAGTCGCATTAACTATGTTTCAAAATGGTTTCGTATGTCGGGAAGTCAGACAAGATATTGGATTCCTGGATTTTAGGCAGAGTAGTGATGGATATTCTCCGTTGGTGGAAGATTAGTGGGACAAGGATTCGTTCGTCGCCAGGGTATGTGAGTCCTGCTGAGGTCGGGCTTTGATTGTATAATTGGAAGGTCGTCGTATATATGAGTCGACTTTTGGTCTGAAACGGGGTTCGGGAAGAATTGGTCGGATCATCTGGGTTCCTTGAAAGTAGCAAGGAGTGATTTCAAGGACAAAATCCAGTTTAAGTGGGGGACAGTTGTAGCATCCGGTTTCTAGAAGTTCCTTATTTCCAGAATTACGGATAATAAGTGGATCAAGTAGAGGCATTGGGATTTCAAAGGAATAGAGTTTAAACCTAATTAGATGTGGATTATATAGGTTGTATGATCCAAGCTCTCAGATTGTGTTTTAGAGTTAAATGGTATAATGGTAAAAGTGATGCTTCAAACTTCTTTTATGAATTGATGATTCTAGTTTGGTAAGTTTTAAGTCAAAAGAGATGAGATAGGATTGTGGGGCTCTTCAATACCTTTCTGTTTATATAAAGAACGCTGAAATCGAGGTTGAAACAAAGAAGTTATGACCGTTGGAAGTTAAGATGGGAATGGGATTTGGTATATACGTTGGGCGTACATCATTAAAGATGACATGGTCATCCTTGAGTATGTTGGGCATACATGGCATGTACGTTGGGCGTGCTCATGCAACTCCCAAACCCTAATTTTTGGGTCTTGGACCTTATTTAAAGACCTTAACCCCTTGGAAACCCTTCTTATCCTCAGCCTCCAGGATTGTTATCATCTTTGCAAGATTCTGGAGGTATAAATCTTCAAACTTTATGACTCTTTAGGGTAGATCTAGTTTTGGGTTATGTTTTGGGCCATTTTTGGGCCTTGGGTCATTAAGGGTTTTAGGCCATAATTTTTTGGGTCAAGTATGGGAGGGTAAAATAGTGTTTTACCCTTTAGCCTGATAGAATATGATTTGGACCTTTGGTAGTGGGTTATTACCCTAATTATTGATTAAGGATAATTTTGAATATGTGCAGTGTAAGGAGCCCTGTAGCAGCAGTGCATGTTTGATTTGATTATCTTCCGATTGAGGTGAGTCTCCGCACCGTACTCGTGGGTCGAAGGCACCAATGTCGGTCCACTGGAATGTATTATGTAGGATGCTAGCTGTCTTTGTGACTCTCACATTGTATATTGGGTTGGGCCCATTGGCATGCATGTAGGGCTGGGCCCAACTGCATAAGTTGGTTGGGCCTATTGCATGTTAGGATAGACCCATTTTATGTTGGGCTAGGCCCATTGTATCGCGGGCTATGCCCATTTGTAACTTGGGATGGGCCCATTGATTAGGACGGGCTAGGCAAAATATTATGGGTTGGGCCCAATGTACGAGTTAGGCCCAAGGATATGTATGGTATGTGTTATTTCGGGGAACTCACTAAGATTTGTGCTTACGTTTATGTGTTTATGGTTTCAGATACTTTCGGTTGCAAAGGGAAGGGCTCGACGTGACTGCATAACTTCTCCCAACATTTTCCACATTGGCTATTTTTTATTTTACTCTAATGTTTGAATGATTAAATCTCTGTAACTGGTTTTAGAACAACTCAATTTTATGGTTTAAGTGTTTTAAAAATAAAAAAATTTACTCTTAGCTTTTGGGATGTTACAATAACGATTAGGCATACTATTGTTGCTTAAGACTAGACAGAGTTTGCTACCGGCATATTATCCTATCGTTTCATGTTTTGTGTAAACTACTGATATATTTACAAAAATATATTTTGATAAATCAGTTTGATAAGAATGTACCCCCCCCCCCCGGGGTAAGATCTTTTAAAACCATAAAAGTGGGACCGTGAACTCACCCTTGATGCATGATATCGATGATGTAGGGTTGACTCGAGCTCGGGACTGCGGGATGGCATCAGGATTCTACCAGCTCCAAGAGAGAGTGAGAGAGAGGTGATTGAGGGATGCATAATGGAGCTGCAAACCATATTATTTATAGTTAAGGTTTTGGAGTGCGTGCGGTGCAAATATCTTCACGTCGTGTGTGATCATCATGGCCCCTTCTGAGAGTCGCCACGTGTCACTCTCTCCATGGGCCACGTCACTCGTAATCCAGTCGAATCCGGTGTCAGGTGCACGCCGTGCAATGGTGCGCACCTCGCGACACATAAAAGATTTTAAAAAATCTATATCTTAAGTGTACGAGCTTCGATCTTTACCCTCTTTATATCTATGTGACAGTCTAAACTAGTACTACAACTTTCCTTTTGGTCGTTTTAGTTAGTTTTGACTTTCATATTTTTGCCTAATGGGGGGGGGGGGTAAAAATAAATGATTTTACAAAAATCATACCTCTCTCATACGGATCCCGTTTTCAGCATTCTTTTTCTAAAGTTCTTATCTAGAGGAGTACTACGATTCTTCTTTTTATAACTTTAGTCAAAACTTAATCGATATCTATGTACCATTTCGACATCGTAAAACGGTTGATTTTACTTTTTACAAAAACCATAACTCCTCCGGTCGGAGTCGGATTTTTACAAATTTTTTATCCTTGGGATCACGTCGACGAGTACTTTCCGAATATACTAACCATTTTAAAAGATGATACCACTTTTTGGATGCTTAGTTTTGAGCCTAAATATCCAATTATTTATAAATGTAACAACATATTTGATTATATTTACTCATAAAATAAACATTATAACACTAAGCTATTACATTTATCTTTCCCTACTATTTCCTAGCAGTGGTTGGTGACGGAAATTTTCTTGGTTGTCACAGCGTTGGAGAAACAACATTGTTGAAATTGGTATAGAGTTATCATGAAAGAGAGAATTGTTCTTTTGATGTTAGAAATTGATTATGCAGTCGTACAAATATACAAATATATAAGAGGTGATCCATAATCTACTCCACCAGTTAAGCTATGTAAAAAGGAAACACAATATTACAGGAAAATTACAAGGTATCCCAAATGGAAATTCAATTATACTCGGTGATACCTAATATCCAATAGAAATCGTCATCATTGTCAAGATTCAACACCGTCTCTGCCGTGTTTGTGAACTTAGACTTGAACGTACTTGACCTGATACTCCTCATTCTTCAAGAATTTGTATCACCAATAAACCCTAATGCTCCTTCTCAATAATCAAATGTAGAACACTCGTTTCTTATATGCAATACCTTCTCAGAATCTTCCGTTTTCAGTGTTGATTCTATACAATCGTAAGTAATTTTGAGCTCCCATAGAAATGGTGATCGATTTGGAGGTTTGCGAGAATTTGGGGATTATTTTATCTGTTACAAAAACAATACCAATCTTTTATATTATGATTGAATGGTTAATGTACAATACTGCCCTTTCATATCCGTTCCCCATTAATGAAATGCTTTTAATTTTTTTTTTTTATTTAATTATGAAGGATAATCACTTTTTTTAATTAGCAAAAATGATTGAACCACAAAGGATCCTTACATCTACACAATAGTTACAATCCACATCACACACACACATACACATACACACACACACAAGTGTTCATATCAACATGCATATTACACTAAATCATTCTGCACGGTGAGAGCCAAACGATTGAGGTACACAAACTCACTTAGGATAGATTTTCAAAGTTTGAACTCTGACGCATCCAAAATATCATTTATATTCCACGATTGACCTCAATCATGGATTTTAGGATGGGTTGATCTGGCCCGTTCATATGATCCAGTTTACTATTTGTTTTATATATTCAACAATGCAATAATACAAAATCAACCAATTAATGTTATTAATAGCCATTAAACAATTTGTTTTGGGTTTTGCCACGCCACTCTAATGAAGGACCATACGAATTCGAAGTCATACATCGCACTCTCGTTTTGTTGTCGAAATAAGAGTTCACATTAAGAATATCAATGAACAAGAATTAATAGCGTAAGATGTTGGAGATCAACGGAATATGTTAGGTGTTGGTTTAGAAGGATCGATCATCACAAAAAGTAAATTTAAACTATCCTCTTTGATTTTAATCTCATCATAATGGTATCAATAATTGTATGTTCAGGATTCGTTATTAACATGTGTGTTTCTTTTAGAGTGGCAACAAAAGAAAAGTTAAATTGAAAAAAGTAACCATTCTTGTTGTTACTCTCAAACCACAATCAAATACGTGGAGAATAACATCATTGACATGACATCATTCCCGCTTGAAATCGTTAAAACTTAAAACCAAACTGTTCACAAAATCTTTATACAAAAATATTTTGAAATTTGAAATTTTTTAATCTCAGATTCTATACCCTGAATAACAATTCAAAAGAATTTTGAATTGCTTAACAGAATTCAAATTTGAAAAAACAGAATGACAACTAGAACAAGATGAAAAAGAGAAAGCGTAAAATTAACTATTTCTAATTTCTGATACAACTGTTCAAACTCTTTATAGCTGCAATACAAAGCCTCAAATATCACAACCATCCGCCGTTAAACTGGTTATCACGGAGGCGGAGCTTCGGACAGTTGAGCTAATTAATACACAAAGATTACTCCAAGTTTTTTGAAATTGTCATGGTAAATAATCACTTGAACAAGAGCTTGTATCATGTTGCCTACCTTTATGTTCCTCCTCCGACGAAATTTGTCCGCCGGAAACCGTCGGAAACTCGCCACACTTCCGGCACCTCGTGATCACCAGGATCTGTCTGCAGGACGGACATGAGGAATGCGAACCGAGCCACATATCAATACATTCGACATGAAATCCATGTCCACACTGCGGTAGAACACGGATCTCGTCTCCGTCGGTGTACTCCGCCAAACAGATAGCACAATCTCCGGATGATAACTTCAGAGCGTTTCCGCCATCGTAAACGAACTTCGGGAGCGCATCAACTATTTTCTTCTTAATTCCTTTATTCGGAGTCTGCTGGCTGGTATTCCTGCCGGCGTTGGAGGTGGATCCACGACGGAGCCAAGCGCAGCGAGCTACTGCGAAAAGGCCTAGAACACATATCAGAGCGCAGAGGAGGGCGGCGAGGATGACAACGAAATCGGACTCAACGGCGACTGCCTCCGGCGGTTCCGCCACTGTCGGATCGAAAGATGAAGAAGATTTAGCGATTGAAGAGAGGAATCTGTAGGGACGAGTCATAATTCGTTCACAAGAAAGGAAAGAAAAGGAAGTGGATAGATTTTTTTGGGAAGACGAAGATGGAAGTATTAAGTATATGTAGCTTTGTAACAGACAAAGGATTGTATCCGGTGTTTCTCACCTACAACAACAGTACAACACTTTCTTTTTCTTAAGATATTAATGCCATCAAATGAGCTGTTTTGGAGGTTTGGTTTTGTTGCTATTTAAAACAATAGTAAAATATATAAAAAAATTTGTAAACTATTTAAAATATCCGGTTCTCAAAACTCAAAAGCATTTGATTTCTATAATTTCATTACAAAAATGGACCCTTTTTTTCCAACAATAAATTTATATTTTTTCAGCTGTCTAGATTTTTAATACGTATTTGGTTCACACGAAACAATTTAAAGAAATTAGAATGTAAATTTCCGTATAAATTATGTTTTGTTAGAATTCTTTCCATTCTAGTATTAAATTAAGGAACTATCATTTTCTAACTGCACATATTCTGTTAGATTCTGTTTTTTATATTTTATTTATTATTCATCAAATCATAACATAGAAGTATCATCTTTCTAATACCCTACCTATCCACACATCCACGGTAACATTTGTTTTTGTAACGACTCTAAAATTTCAAACTATGTGTTATAAGACGTATTTGGTCTAAATACATTTAAGGATAAACAATAGCGAAACGCAATGTTTTTTGTAAAGTAATATATACATCTTGGTATTTATTGCATTATAACAGAAAATGTATATGTTTTTAGTAAAAGATTATTAAAACAAGTTGTAGCTCACTTGGAGACGGTTTCGTGGACATAAAGTGTAGCACCCGAGTCGCCAGGTATGTGTTAATGATTCATTCTATTTAAATTCAAGCAAAAAGGTGGTGGGGGACTCGTGAGTACGTTGGGCGTACATTTGGTACGCACGGCGTACTCCTTGCATGCGCATCATCGGGTGATCCCCGGCGTACGTTGGGCGTACTCAAGCCAGGGGCAAACCATAATTTTTAGGGGTTGTACCCTATTTAAATTCCTTAAGTCTCTCAAGCTCATTACCCTTTCAGCCTCCATTTCCCTTTTAGTGTCAATCTCGAACCCTAGCCTTCTTGAGTGCATCTTTGAGCTTACCTTGAGTGTTTTGGTGTTCTTTGGTGGTTTTGAAGAAGAAGGAGGTTTAGGAAGAAGCAAAGGAGAAAAAGGAGCTTGTAGATCCAGAGTTTGTGCACCATTTCTATCCCATTAAAGGTATAAAGTTTGAACCTTGATCATTACAAGCTTAGATCTAGGTTTAGGGTAGAATATGGCATCTTTTGGTCCCATAGCTTGGTTTCTTGGAGTATGAGCAAGTCCATCCCATTTGAGTTGTCCTTTTGGACTCTTGGAAGTGTTTTGAGTCATAAAAATCGTATCTTGGTGGTTAAGAGTCAACCATGCAAGTGTTAGTGACCATCCAAGTAAGTTAATGGACTTAATTCATGGTTTGAGCCCCATCCATGCATGCAAAAGCATAAAGTTTGCAACTTTATGGCTTAAGACGTTATTTTGAGCTTGGATCTAAGTTTTGGACGTAAAGGCTGAATGGATTAAGACTTGGGAATGAAAATGGGCTGACTGGCCAGTACGTTCGACGTACTCTAGAGTACAATGCGCGTACTGGGTCAGTGTCCCGACTCCGGATTGTCATCAGCGTACGCTGGGCATACGAGCCATATACGACGCGCATACACCGTCTATGGGCTTGCAAGATTTTTGGGCTCGTGTGTTAATTGGGCTTTGGACTTGTTTAAGTTGGGCCTCGGGCCCACCTGTTGTAGCAGGTCATTTTTGTGCCCAAGGCCATGTTAGGTGTTCCTGGGCCATATTGGGACTTAGAGGTATTATAGTTGGGCTTGGATGCCTTTTTGGACTTTGTCACACCCCCGAACCAGACGACGGAAACATCCGAGGGCTCGCGTGACTTAAATTGAAATATCATCACAATGAATATACATGAAACATAACATAAACATCACCATGCATTAATACATTACAACTGACCTTGTTCACATCAAGTACATTGTCTAAATATTACATATTAATAGCATAAATTTTTTGAGAGTCACAAAACATAACATCCAAACACACTTGGTAATTTTCTTCAGCTTATCTGTTACCTAAGAATACTAGTTATTTTGAAAACGGTCAACATATATAATGTTGGTGAGTTCATAAGCAGGTTTGTTATGTAAATGTTTTGTATAGTTTTTAAAACCCAGAAAATCCGATATTTTCTGAAACGGCAATTGTTATTACAATAGGTGTGATGATCCATAAGTATATGCGTGAATGATTTCAAAACGTGAAAAAGTGATATGTTTGTCATAATGAATTCTTGTATTGAAAGTGCAAATGAATAATGTTGTTTCCCCGGAAAACCCGATGTTTTCCGATAAAATAGTATGTTCGTTTTGTATTATTGTATCGTCACAACGAATGAATATGATTCCCCATGATTACTTAGATGGTATTGGATCTCTATATGACTCGTTATAACCATGCATAATAATGACTAGTTCGTCTGTCTTGGCATTCTTGCAAAAGCCGGTATTGAAATTAAGATTTTGTCACCCTAGACTGGCCGAGTCTAACTGTAGCAAACAGCTTAGGTGTGGGGGAGTCA